GTATAGATCAGGGTGTTGCAGTTGATACTAGGATTTTGCCAAGGTATTAGATATGGTTTCACACAGTAGGTTAGTGTTCAAACTAATAGAAGTTGAAATCAGTTTAGTTTAAAAAAAAAATGGTGTCTCAGTGGGGATATGACAACATTATACAAATATTTTTGGGGCAAATGCAAACCATTGTCTGGAAATCTATTCATAAACATGACTATACATAAGATTACACATTTAGACTGCAATACATGAGATTTATGTCGAGGTGAAATAGATTTTTTTTACAGTAAGAACAATAAAGATGTTTAATTATCTGCCTGAATAGATGGTTTTATCAGAGTCTGTACAGCAACAACTGGATGAATACTTGCAAAAACATGATATTCAGGGATATATGTTTTAATAGGATCCAAGGAGAGATTTAACTGCCATTTAGGGTTAGAAAAACTGTTGTTGTTTTTTTTTTTACTAGTTTGCCGCTAAATTGGAAAGCACTTCAAATCAGGTGTTTTGCCTTCTCTTAGATCAACAGCAAAAAACAGAGCGAGAAAGGCTGAACTTGACAGACACGTGGGTAACTGTGTTTCAATGGAGCTACATGAGAGAATTCCTGTAGTCTAACATTGGAAGAGGTGATAACAGAAAATGCAAGAGGCAGGTCATAATTAGACCTTAGGGGATGGGCAGGGGTATATCTGTTGATTATTGAGGAAAAGTAGTTGAGAGTGACATTCTACTAACACTCTCATAGCTTGAGTCAATTCTCCAGGAAAATACTTTCAAGTTACTGGAGACTATTACAAATCAATTAGCCCATTCAACAAAGCTTGAGGTCTCCTGGCTTGGTTGCATCATTGCCATTACCAATAACATATTCCCACTACTACTGTATTTGTTCAGAACATTACCGATAGCCATCTGTGTGCACGTTTCATACATTTTAATTTCTAATGGAAAAGAACAACCATCTAGATTATCCTACAATATTATTTGCATAACCTCTTTTAAAGGTGGCTTCAGTATTGATGTATGTCTCTATTATTATAGAACAATTTTGGCAAGGACCCTATTCAGTTTACCTTATGATACCCCATCTTGGATCAAACTGGAGAATACCTTCCTCACTCCTTGGACTCTAGACCAGATCCAATAGGTTTGCCCTACCTTTGACCATTTTGTCCTTAGCTTTAACAATAAACTCCCTACCAATCTGGAAGATCAGGAACCCAAAACCAATACCTTCCAACTTGTAATTACTATTTATTTTCCCATCACTACATATAAAATACTGGCAACAGACTTTACATCTCAATGGTGGGCTTGAATAATTTTCAAATATATGCATTTGTGATAATAATAGGTGTTGGTGCAATAAATGAGAAAGGGTGAGACTGCGGTTGAATGCAAACTTAACAAAAATGGCAAATTGCCTCTGTCCTTAAGTATAAATAAAGCAATCTGAAGCTGCATCCTTAGGAGATCAACTTATTTTGTTCCCCAAACAATACAGTCCAAACTAGACCAATAATAATGGCATCAAATCTATTTAAGGGTGAACAGGAAAAAAAATGAAGTGAAGGCAAATTTTGTTGCATTTTCTTTTGACTAGATTTAATTAGATAGTTGACCTTCATTTTGCTGCAGTGTTATAATAATAAAAATAAAATCATTGGCAATAAAATTGATGGATGGTTGAAGCTATATGTTAAAATAATTTGTGAAGATATTTTAGTACCTCTTATTATTATTTTTACATTAGGATATATCATTTCAAGCCGTGTAGATTATGTGCGTTTATACATATGTCTCTTTTTACACATTAACAAGTTATTGACATTGTTTGGGTGTAAAAAAAATGAATTTCTCCTGTCTATATAGACATCGAAACTTGCTCATGTTGCAAGTGAACATAACTGTTTGCTTTGAATCAATATATTTTAATGCAGAACACGTTTGATAACATAGTGCCTTACATAAGTATAGATGTTTCCTTAATTTATAACATAACATAGTATAAATATAATTTTATTGTGATTGTTATCATTTAATTTACACATGCCTAACACTTTTAAGGTATAAAAAAAAAAAGTTTTAAATGTTTTATAGTGAACCAAATTTATTGTTATATGAATAAATATCTTGGTGCAATAAAATCCTAACTAGCCACTGGTGAAACAATTTGCCTTCAGATGTCACATCATTGGTTGGATGGAGTCCAACTGTATACAATGAAAGTGTTATATGAACTGAAAAGGATTACACGTCCTTGCCTGGAAGGTACCAGAGTGTATTACAGAGTATTGAGAAGAAAACATTTGCTGAAAATAAAAAAAAATTTAAGTGCAGTTTATAATTTGCATTACTGAGTAGGGATTCCGCTGACCTGGTTGGAACATTAGTAATCTTGCAATGTTCCTATGGCATTCTGCCAACCTTGGATAGTTTGACTATTGCTTTATATTTACTATCCAAATCCCATTCTTGTGGGAAGGAATTGGTAAAGTTAAACTCTTCCATGCACTATGGTTCTGGCAATCTACAACACGTCATGGCTGCAATATATATGTATTTTGTGCATTTGTATAATGTTTTGTCAAGATATGTCTATGGTGCATGTGATGTGATTTCACACACACACACACACACTAATGGAAATTTACTAGCAACCATAGGTCCCCCTTTATTCTAATTTAGTGCCCCCACCCACCGCTCAGGGGTGGGGGCCAGGGGGGAGGACAATAGGTACCCCCCTTATTCTAATTTAGGGCCACCACCCACCACTCAGGGGTGAGGGCCAGGGGGGAGGACAATAGGTCCCCCCTTATTGGTATTTTGGGCCCCCACCCGCCGCTCAGGGGTGGGGGCTGTGGGGGAGGACAATAGGTCCCCTCTCCTTGAAGTAATTTAGGGCCCCCACCCACCACTCAGGGATGGGGAGGACAATTGGTCCCCCCCTTTTACTTTAGGGCCCCCACCCACCGCTCAGGTGTGGGGGCAGGGGGGGGCAATAGGGCCCGTTTTTTTTGTTTTGTTTTTTAACAGTGCGCAGCCACAGGCTAATAGACATGCCCCTACTCGCATGTTTAATAGACATGCGCCTACTCGCGGTATAGCGAGTAGGGGCAAAATTGACTAATACTAAGTAATTTTTACTTAGTATTAGTAAATTTGGCTGAAAGACCAATTTAGGTCTTTCAGCCTTTTGGTAGATAACTCCTTAATACCGTGGGAATTAGGGAGTTATCTACTAAGCGGCTGCAAGAGAAGTCCCGAAGTGCCGAAGTCCCGAAATGCCGAAGTTACGAAGTCCCGAATTTCGGAATGCCGAACCGAAAATTTTCCCCATGCACATCCCTACTTAAAGGGTTTTCCTTACATATATGTTCTCTTTCAGATACAGAAACTCCTTCAGCCATATCCTTAAGCTGTGTGATATTGTAGGTTAAATAAATAAAATGAAAAAAAAAAAATGATTGAATTCTGATGCATTTGTTCTGTGTTATAGTTTTTAACAAACCGCAAGGCAGTCAGATGTTGCCCATTACAATGTAGAAGTGACAACTGTCCAGGAAAACAAAATTAATTAGGAAATCCTAGAGCTGACATTGTTTTTAAAGCATAAAATATATTTTCTATGTTCTATAATAAGTAAAAGAAAACCAGACAATACATTTTAATAATTGGGTTTAATACATCCCTTATCAGCATGTGGCTGAGTAGTCTGCGCCAAATAATATGATTTAATTTTATTTAGAGATTGTTTAAATCTTGTCGTCTCTTTAACATATGCAATTTGTAGTACATTTGTGGCCTCTTGGTATTGGTGTTGTAACCAATGCTTTGTACACAAAACTCATTCCATATGAAAAAAAGTGCTTGCACTGTTCATCACCTGCATATCTCAAGTTGGAGAAGTCCCTCTTGGGCACACATAAAAAATAAAAAATATATATACGTGGAGAAATCACATTTTTACAACTATCCCAGAGTTCTCAGCTTCACATGCAAATAAGACATTACCCAGCATTTCTACAAGTTCCCCTAACAATGAAAACCGCTTTCAACACAGCTTTAAAAATGTGTTTAATAATCTAAAAGTTTAAAAAGTATATTGTTTCACATATGTTTTGAGAAGATTCTCTGGCATCTAAATTTTGTTTTCTTACTGGCTGCAATCCATTTTCTTTATAATGCACCTGAAAATAAAGATGTAGGTGTTTGTCAAAGCTTATATTATAATCATATTGACTAGTAAATATGTACTTCATTTGTTTGTATTTTTGTTTGTTTTTTCCCCTTTTTACTTTCCCGCTGACATAATAACAATATATAGAATGATCAGCAGGAGGTTTAAGACAGCTCATTCTTGTTTTACTCCATGCATTCATAGTTATTTGAAAACCATCTTTAAAGGACTTCTCCTTAGGAATAAGTGCTATAAAGTGGTTGTCTGTTTTAATTCACCTCTTCAAAAAGAATTAACCACAGCTATTGGAAGGATGCCATTAACTTGCCTCAGCAAATCCTCTGATTTCTGAAGTGTATTACTTTCTGTGTAGACCTGATAATTTTGTCAGAATCCATGTTGCATTATGATAAGTAGAAATCATGGTTAAATATGTATTAAATTCAAAATGATTCACTTTATATTTGGTGAAACTGTTAAAGCAGGCACAGACAAGTTTAAGATTAACTTCACAATCTGCCAAGGTTTAGTAAATTCCCTTCTTTTTTGGTAGCAGTACATATGACACAGTTTTTTGATCTAGATATTATTTTGTTTGAATATTTTCATTGGCCTGTTGATTTAGGTGTTTACACCAGATTTTATTAAACTGAAAACCTAATTTCAAAACTTAGTTTAAAATCATCAAGTTATGAGTTGGTGAATGTTTCCAAATCTGCACTTTTAGTGTTGTCTGTACTTACAAAACCATAGTACTTTTTAGAAAAAATGCACAAGGGTATTGCAGTATGCAATGATACCTTTTTTATTGGACTAACATAATATTTCAAAGACAAGCTTTCAAGAGTTTTCCTCTGTTCCTCAGGACTGAAGCAATACTGATCAAACTGATAGAATTTAACACTGCTTCCATATTGCTTCAGACCTGAAGAAGAGAGGAAAACTTTTGAAAGCTTGTCTTTTAAGTATTGTTAGTCCAACAAAAAATGTATCATTGCATACTGCAATACTCTGGATTAGTCATGTTAGTCCAGTAGACAATATGCCAAAAATACCAATCTATATCATTGTGCAATATGTGCAAAATGACAATATTCAGGTCTGAAGCAATATACACACACACACACATATATACTCCTACTTTTTCCAAATGGGGTAAACACTCTTTTATTGTAATGGTTTGACCCTGCCTGACCAAGTCTTTTGGTGCTTGTTATCACTGCAGACACAGTAGGTATAAACTGATAGGGTGCTGTTATTTTTTTTAACTCACACTGAAGGACATCCACTGATTCTACATAATGAATGTGTGGGAAAGCTTTCCGCTTGTCAGGGTGGCAGGGGAAAGTAAGTGGTTAAATGCCATTTTATGGTAAATCTATTCAAAAATTACTTTTCCCTTTCATATTTTAATAAATTTCCTTTTTTTTAACTTAACATGACTCCTGCTCCCCATTTTTCATGTAAAAAAAGCAAAAGGAAATATATTGCAATCAATAATAGTTCAGAGGAGAGGGAGTGAGAATATATTGATCACCCATTAGGCCAGGCAATATTGTAGCCTCAGGCCGTGAACTGGTACTTAACACAGCCTAGGATTACAACCTCCTGGTTTTCTGGGACTTAGGTGTGACCTTTGCTTTAGCAGTCCTTGCAGGGGAGGCGTTCGCAGCTCTCAATGCTCTCTCGAACATTTCAAGATCCTGCTTACATCCAACAGTTACATTAGAAGCATATGTGCAGTCAGGTGACAGAACTTCATAGGCATGGCAGTAAGTGGTGATGTTGCCTGATTGAACAGATGTTTTGTCTGTAAGTAGTGAAGATGTCTCTGTAACAGAAGGTGGACATTTCTCAGGAGTAAAAAAAACAACAGACAGATAACAAACAATCTAATAGTAGAATATAGGTAAAAGTTGGAATAATATATTTCTTTTACCCATATACTACTCTTAGATTGTTATCTCTGTCTTTTTTTTTTAAAGATATTAATCTACAAACAAGATTCTGGTGCATATATGTATGTAGATACACTTTTAATCACATGAGGTTGTACTAAACCATAGGTGGGTATTATCTCCTTTTTGCTCCGATATTTTCACAAGGTTGGGGAAATCTTGTGTGATAATCTGCAACCCCTACCCATTGTTTAAGAAATAGTGAGCACCTATATCATACTTTTTGTGTTGTAGAGATGGCAGTGTGGATCCTAAGTTGAGCGAGTAGGGCAGAGGGAGATAAAGTGCCCTCTTTCACCACAATAGAAACAAAGGCCACTGCGTCTCCTATGGTCTTTCTTCAGAAGACAACATAGTGCGGATGAAGCCAGTTTTTCATGGGTTCCTCCTTGTCCTCTGGAGTTTCAAGGCTTATTTGGGTAAAGTCAGGGTGACAAGGCAGGTCCCTGAAGGTAGGCTTGCGTTGTAACAAGATGGAGTCTTTGTACTCGTATAGGTTCTTCGTTTCTCAAGGTACCCGATCTTCACAGGAACCTGGATCAGGCTTCAGAGTAGCTTTTTTAAAAGCAGAGCACTGTGAGTCTATCACAGTCTTGAACGACTCCCAGTGGTTCAAGACAGCACTTTCTTTCTTGCAGCATCTTGTATGCCCTCGCCTTAATCCATCGGAAAAAAAAGTTATAGCGGTGTAGACCCTGACAAAGTCGGTGGTGTAGGTTCTTGACTTTAAGGCAAATAGGAGCTCACAATCCATTGTAAATGATGGCAAGATGTTGGTAGAAGGATAAATAGAAAGATAATGATTAGAGCTTAAACGATACTTTTACAGATTAATCTACCTAGTATGAAAAACAAAGAACGAATTTTGTTATTACATATGCTGACTGCTGCCAAATTAACTATAGCTAGAAATTGGAAAAGTCCATTTAAACCTGACTGGTGCCTAATTAAACATCAAATTTGTTACCAACTGAACATGGAAAAATATATTCTGACCCCCAAAAATAAAAAATATAGGTATAGTGGTTTTTGGCATGAATCAATAAAAAATATGCTATAAGTAAAATTTTAAATCAAATCAATAAAAAAATGCTCCTCTCCACCTGTATCCCTCTGATCGAGAGCATGATATTTGTTTGTGTAATTAATGTTAACTGTGCTCAGTGAGATGGTTTGATATCTGCCTTATGGGATGTTTATCATTATTATCAATTATACATTTTGGATGAATCACATATTTAGCTTTTAGCTAGAGATAGCAAAGACAATTTTAATAAGAGCGATACAATAGATTGTGCAGTTAGGCAGGAAATTGTAAATGTATTTTTTTATGTTTTGTATACAAAATACTAATAAAGAGGGAAAAAAAATGATGTGAAGGAGGAACGGGTACCATCAAATCTGTCAGGTATTAACACATAGGGTTCTGGATTCGCAGGTTCCAGGGTTGGGCGTACTGTACCTTTAAATGCCAAAATAGCCATCTGCAAATCCAGAAGAGTCTGAGACAGGTTGGATACTTGCTGAGCAAGGGAGGTAAGCCGCTTGTACATCTATGTGGACTCCATGATGTTCAGTTCATATGTCAGGATCTTACCTACATCTACCAGAAATAATGAACTGACACTGTCCTCAGGGAGAGGCAGTGTTTTAAAACCAGATAATAAGCAATCTGCCTCAGGTGGACTTAGAGTGACAGGAACAACCACAGGTGAAGTCCAGCCCCTAGTGCTGCAGATAAGGCCTGATTGGATATCAGGATGAAAAATAGCTAAAGTGTGGTTCAGAGGCAACACAGCAGTGCCAAAGCAAAAAGAAACAACAGTTCAAATCCCAGTAGAGCCACACCTGGTCTTCCATATGGTGTGAATTGTGACACTTTGTTAATGTTGTGATGTTCCTAACAATCAAATGTTTTAGCATATACAATTATGGTAAATGCATTGTCTCTTTTTGTCTACAGTGTAAGCACTAATTTATACACCATTAGAGCACAAGCGTGTATTGCTTTGAAAAAGTAGATTCTAGTAGATAATATTTCTAGCATCTTTTTCCTCTAAAGTGTAGCTTGATTTCAATAGAATCATTATTTTTAAAATAATTTTACATATTAATGAAATCTGCATGTTAATTATGTTGAGTTAATGTTTTGAATATTATCTCTTGCGTTACTTATTTCTTAAAGGAATCCTGTTTGGATTGCTCAAGTTTCCTTTCAAATAATTAAATATTTTGCTAATAACTGAAATAAAATTATGATAGATAAATAATAAAGGTCATCAAGAAAAGCGGATGGGATTGATAATGTGTGCAATCTGTGAAATATATGAACATTTGGAAACATTATTCTGTGGCAGATGTGAGCATGTGACCTTTCTGGAAGCTTTCAATATGGTTATGAAAGTACCAACCAGCAACATTTATAAATACTAGTAAACTGGAGATTGTTAAGGATCTGGAAAAAATAGAAGACCTGAAAATGAAAATTGCATCAGTTAAGCACATGTGCATATTAAGAAAACTGTTGGAAAAGGGTGGACTTTATTGAGTTGCAAGTGATTTGCTAGACTAAATAATCTTAGAGAAGGCAATCAGGAAAAACAATTATTCAAAAGAGACTCGATTTGACAGCTAAGAGATGTATATAGACAATATAGACAAGGGAACACTTTGGTTATCACAAACACTTCATCTTTTTATAGTGGTTATGATGAATGTAATGCTTAGGAACTGTGGCAAACGCCGCTTTCAACAGACATTTGCCACGGATTCCTTGAGGAGTCTGGAAGCTGGCCTCCTGCCCACCGACTATGAGCCCAGTCATTGACTATAAAGACCCATCTTTTATTCCCCCTGCTTCCACTGGTTCAGCACTTTCCATTCATGTGCATAGAACTGAACGCTAGCTCCCTGGCAGCCATTCGCATGGACCAAAACCAAATAGACAAAATGGATTTCAGGGGCACTTAGTCATGAATGCCCTGGAGCTATTTTCGGCATGAAGACTTCGCGATTCCCGGTCAGTCCCCAGCGGCACATAGCCGCAATTCTATGGAACTATTTTCGTCATGAAGACTTTGCGGTTCCCGGTCGGTCCCCAGCAGCACTAAGCCGTGATTCTTTGGAACTATTTTGGGCATAGGAGTATGCGTGCGGTCCGTCAAATTAGGACTTCCAGGAAAATCCTGAACCCCTGAACCGATCTGGGTGATTTTTGGATATGTTGTTCACCGAGATCATATTTTTAAGGTACATTTGGAGTGTTTGGGAAATGTATGTTTTTGGTGCCTGGAGATAATTGAGTTTAATACAGTGCTTGACTCAATTATATCACAGGCAAAGGGGAAGGATTATCTTTTTTTGTATAGGATTGCCCTGGAACTGAGAGCCAATGTAATTGTGTGTATATTTTTACTGTAGTCTATTCTCCAGGGGGTAGTACCCCTTGCATGGGGACCTGCATATAAGGCCAGTTGTGACTGCCAATAAACGTATTCCAGCTTGTACTCCCAGAACTATGTTATTCATCTTTAATCACTGTTCCAGTGTGGAGGATTCAATGGGGAAAGTCCTTGTAAGGACTAGAGCTCTCAGGACTGAGTGTTATCCAGTGCCTGGGGGTGTCTAGAGCGAATGACCCATTTGGCTCCAGGAGGGAGCATTTCCAGGACCCCAGCCAAGCCACGGTGACTGTGGGCAGAAGTGCTGCAGTTTGTCCCCTGTTCCAGCTACGAAGTGGTCCTTGGCGGAGGTACCCAGCCAGGGGTACAGGGAGCTCTATTACAGGCACCTTCCACAGTTCACTATTAAATTGTTAAGCAGTGAATTAAGGAATATATATTGTGAACTACGGTGCCCAGCTTCACACCTTCTGAACACTTCCACTTAGTCTTAGTCGTATCTTTCATTGTTAACTTTAGCTGTGATAGGGGCAATGATAGTCTGGAAGTGTCATGTGAGATCACTCAGTCTATCAACTCTTACTCCATTAGGCTTAATATAGACTTTGACC